AGGCAAAGTCACTGAATATGCAGTTTATGGCCACCGTGGCCAAGAAAAATTAAGTCAAATGCAGACACAGCTCACAGAGGAGCTATTTCAAATCCCAGCAATGATGGCTAGGCACGGTTTGGCTGCTCCGGATATTTGGAAGCTCAAGGCTAATTTTTGTTGCTCTCCACGGCTCCTGGGGAACCCTACAAGTCTGTGGGAGATCGCGCCCTTGAGCGTGCAGCAGCGGGATTTGGGTCTGAATTGTTTACTGCAGTGACGACGTAGATCATAGCTCATAGGAAGCATCTCTGCCTGGCCTGTCTCAGTGCACTGCACATGCTTGTCAGAGAAGGTCAGGCACTTTGCATCAATTTGCTGCTGAGCTAGAAAGGAGAGAGCCTGGGATAGATGACAGCAGGTTTTCCGCTCTGTACTGAAAGTGTAGGGGCTCACATGCTGGTGCAAACACAAAAGTGAGCCCACCTTTTCTCAGGGCTAAGGCCACCATGGCAGGAAGCTCACGCTGCACTAGCTGAAGCAGAATCTTTGCTGTGGTTTTGCTTGAGCTCCTGAAGGGCTGTGAAAGGGGACTATGTGACCATGTTTACCGGGGGCTGTTGCATCTCCTCTGTTCTGTCTCATTGCGAGAAATAGCTCCTGTTTATGATATTGGGTGCGCTTGTGTTGAATGATCTTTATATTGCCATGCCCTCCTTCTGCTGTTACGACAAACGAACCTTTGCACGGGGAGATGTTACATTATTTTACTCAGCTCAAGAAAACTACAATCTTTGCTTGATCCGAAAAATTGCCTAGCCAAATTCACCTCTCGGAGCTTGCAGTCTCACCGAGCTCCCAGAGTGAGAAATCCCCCCTGAAGAGTAGTACAGGGATAGAGTAGGAAAAGGAACAGGATTTGACCCATTTGTTTATTCCAGGCATTTCTGTTCAGACACGAAATCCCCCCATTTTTGGACACCTTTTTTATTACATGACACTGTCAAGTGCTTACGGAGAAATGACAACAATGATTTCATCGCCTGTCACTCAGATACCAAGACAATATGCAAACAACTAAATAATAACTGCATCTTGAATTTGTCACAGCCACAGCAGTTTCCATGTGTTTCTCGTAAAGCTCTGTTCGAATACAGCTGGACTCGAAGGGATAATGAATGGAAATCCCCCCTCAGAGCGAGGTCTAGAACAGACTCCACAAAGAGTTCATCAAAGTCCTTCTGTTGAAACATTGTTCATGCAGAAATCTGAATTTTGAGGAGAAAAACATCTGTCAAGAGGCACATTTGCTCTGGTTTCTCCAAAAAGAAGATGCTGAGGGGGTTCACACAAATGGCCGATTACTGTCTGCTCACCCTCTGCCTGCTTTCGTTCAGTTTAGAGGTTTGTATTAAAGTATTTCACTCGTGTGCATATTAAGGTAAAATCCAAGGTTCACAGAAGGTGACACTTCCATGCTTAAAGACATACTGGAAGAGGCAAAACTATTTCCTGAATAAGCTTAGGGAAGGGATAAGTGAGTAAATTTTGAAAGAAAGGATGATATGTGTCCAGACTCTTGACAACTTCTAACTTAGCTCGTCTGGAAAAGCTAATGTGCTCCACCAGGAAGAGCTCTCTAACACAAACAACCTGAGGCCTATCTGCGGATAAGGTCAGTCTCTCCCAAGGCTCTGCCTTAGCAAGTTTGCAGCAAAGCAGCTGGAGAAAAGGAGGCACCCAAGCCCTTTCCTCTGACCTTCAAATGTAATCTTGATAATAAAAGATTTTGTACCAGATTTTCATTTTATTTCTTTATCTGTATCTTTTACTACTTGTATTTGTTTGCATGCGGGGGGGGGGTGGTCTGTCTTTTTGGATACTTGAAGCAACCACTTTAACTTGGCTCAAGGTGAAGATGGTTTGAATGCAATTACATCATAACAGCACAATCTACTCCCCCTGAGTCTGTGACGAATTGGACCACAGAAAAGGAGCCCGAGACGCTCTGTAGAGAGGGTAAAGCTAGTAGGAGGTCTTTCTGTGTACAGACTGAGGGGAGAGCAAACAATGCAGGAGAAAAAACACGTGTTTCTGTGAGTAATGACAACTAGCTGGGCTCTCCATTACAAAGCAGGGAGGGGAGAATAGCCCTGAACCCTGAGTGCAAGCACGGAGCTCGGCACCCTGGCACGGGGGGGGAAATACATGTTGCTGCTTCTCTCTGGACACTACAAATGTGAGAACTATCTTTCACAAACGTGTTGTTAAATTTGACCAAACGTATCCCTTGGTTTCTAACGCAGGCTGCGCAACTAAGCACTAAAGGCTTAGCGTGCTAGAGAGAAAAGTAGGAAAATATTTTAGGGAGCACACTAGTTTAATGCTCTTGTGGTTCTCATTGCTCCTCTGCTCTTGTTTTCTGGAGAAAAGATGATGGTCCATGTGCTGTTACCTTTTACGGGCTCCCTGTGGTTTTGTATACTCAGGTGTTTTTTTTTTTAACCCCATAACCACGCTTCTTGGGGCAGTGGTGACTGCTCTTAGGAAGCAAAGACGAGAATACGCCTAATCCTCTTGCGGAATTAGAGCCCTCACTTTCCTGTAGCTAAAATAATGTAGTACTAGCACTGAATGAAACCGATGTATCAGCGATGTACTCTACTGAATGTAACCCAAAAAGATCATGGATATGAAGCTTTAACAAAAGGCTGCGTCCTCTTTGATAAAAGCTATTAAATACTGGTTTGGGTGCATTGTTCAGTGGTGGATGTGACACCTGAGCTTATTCTGTTGTTCAGGGAGCACTCACGTTTGGGAGGTGCGGGGATGTTGTGTTTGCACATCCAGTTAAGAAATAAGCACAGCTCGACAGGAGGTATAGCCCTTGGTTCAGATGCAAGAGTCACTAAACGCTAAAACAAGTCAATAGCAAAACTTGCCCCAGTGCTATATGAGGGCCGTGATGTATGTCTTGGCTCTGTGACAGATAATAATAAGTTTCTCTGCGAACAGAGTACTGCTAAGGAACGCGTCTTCACTGGTTTTGCCCTACTGCTGTGCTGTGTTTATGGAGGATGCTAACACTCGCTGCTGCAAGTTAATCTTCTCTTCTCAGTTCCTATTTTTTGCTTTAAAAGAAATGGTTTTGGAAAATCAAAAGCCCTCTACGTGTAGTCTGTGACCAAAAGCCATTTGATCTCTCAAAGGTCAGAGGAGACATGATTTCTGTGAGTCCTGGTGAAATCTCTCTGTCACTAGAGAGTACGCCGTACTTCAGCATCTGTTTGACCACACGACCGCAAGTAAGGTGGCTCTGGCAGTGAACTGACAAAACCGGAGGACTTGTGAAGAGTGCAGCATCAATCTGAATTTAGCTGTGCAGTGAAAAATGTTTGCTGGCTGATGTCTACTGCTATTCCTGGGAGAAGCACAGAAGCAAAGACTTAGGCTGACACCACTTGCAAAGAGCGGTGCATTTCCAGTGATGTGACGGAGCTTAGCTGTAGTCCTAGTTCACAGCTTGCAAGCACATTTGGTGGGGAAGAGCCCACCCTAAGCCATACTAAGCAGCCAGGTAGCAAACAGCCATGAGCAAACTCTGCTCTTGCAGATGGCAAATCTAGCCTTAATGCCGAAAATCTCTGTGCTGAAGAGCCTCGGTGATCTAGGCATCCTTTAACTAATACTTGATTTCAGAACAGCTGCAATGAAGCACAACCTCTCATAAAAAACCTAAGCCCTGGTTCCTAATAAGGAGTATATGTGTCTAAATCTACACTCTCCTATTCTTTGCAGAGAAAGCAGAAGAATCTGCCCGAGTATGTTCATGTTGCTGATGTTAGTCTAAATATTAACTTGGACAATTTCCTGAGGTGTATCCCCAAGAAGAAAACATCAAAAAGTTCATGATCTAGCTATACACTGAGGTTATCCTGAATACAGGTATGCTACATACCGGTAGGGGGAAGCCTATAATAGAAATCCTCCCTATATAATTAATTCTTTAAAGAAAGAAAAAATACTACTGAAAGAGAAACCTACTTAAAAAGAGCAGTTAAAAGGATTAAATATGCGTATATACCACTGGGACAATTTAGTGGCTAAGAATAAACACGTACCAGCAACCATCAAGCATTTCCTCTTCTTGCAAACTATGCAGCATGTTACATAAAGGAGACTATTGGAAAGAAAAAAGTGTCTTCAGCAAATAGATGATGCATCCAAACAAGTAAGAAAAAAGAATATGACCTTTTCCAATTACCTGTAAAGCCGTAACATTTTGGGCTAATAACATTTCAACCTGCATCAGAAGCAGGTAGCCATCTGATGAGGGCAATCACCCTGAGAAAACAATTACCAGTGAAGATGAAGCCAAAAGCAAAAACCTGAATACGTGCTTTGCCTTGCTTTTCACTACACTAGGATTAGGTTGGGAGGTTTTCACAGTGCTAGTTCTACAGGATTTAATGAGGTTTTGGCCTGATGATGGGAAGGAGAGCTTGGACTGAGCTCTTTCAGTTGGTATTAGTGCCAAAACAAACTGCTTGACCTCGGAGCTGAAGGACTGTTCTCAATTTGAAATGTCAATAGGGAAAGGCTTAGAGAAGATGATAAAATGACGTTTATGGGGTTAGTTGGGATGTTATCTGCTTAAAGTCTTTAAGGAATTTAAATGTGAAGTGCTGCATGGCAAGTAACCTATTGACCTGTTATTTCACTACTCCCAGAGCACCCCAGGGAGTGCTAGCCAGAGGGGAACTGCTGTGTCCATAACTAGATGATCCTAGCAAGGGAAAATGTGCCACCCTATCTTGAATGTGTTGGCCATTTCCAGGCTAAAAGCAGGAGGAGGAAGTTTACGCCTTCCAGCTTGTCCCACCCCAAAACTGAGCTTTTTCAGGTATCTTAAAATATGCGTCACAGCCATCTGACAGAAATATCCAGCCCTACTGCTGACGTGCTTGCTTGAGGAGGGGATACCCCAGTATGTACTCAGGGGATCAGCAGCTAAAGGAGCCTGTTCGGATGAGAAGCAAACCCTAAATTTTTCAGTTTGTAAGTGAAGACCTTTGAAGACCTTGAGCCCTTGAAATCATCAGCTACTTCCTTCCTGGGCTGGGGGCGTCACTTCAGATGCTTACTTGGATGATGAGCTCAGAAACCACAGACTCTTCTGCTAAGCCATCTCTGCTGTGGCCACATCCCAGGCTCTGAGGAGACATGGGCTTTGCTGGGAGCTGCTGGACCCTTTGCTCCATCCTGCTGCTTCTCGGTGAGTCTGGGTGGGGGGACAGAGCTGAAGTCTCCTTGGGGCTATAAACAGCTGCCACCAAACATCTCTTCACCTCAACTGTGTCCTTTCAAACCATGTTTTCCCCTTTGTACAAGGAAATGGAGTAGGGATGGTGGCCAGGTGGTGGGTTTTTTGGATGTAGCTGCAGCCTGTAAAACAATGACTCCCCTGTCAGTGTCATTTAAATTATTTCTGGAGAAACATCTTCAGTGTGGTGCACTGACCTTTTCTGCTACCTAAGAAGACCTTTTTGGCTGTTCTTCCACCACGCTCAGTGTCAGGACCTTGCCGTATTGAAGACTTGAGTGAATCCACAAGTGTATATATGCAGTGATCAAAAAGCATGTCTCTTCCTCACATTCACAGGGAAACGGGCTGTAAGAGATGTTAAATTCAACAACACAAAATGTTTTTGCAAAATGCTGCAGTCAGCTAGCAGTGCCCAGGAGGCACAGTGAATGAACTGGATTAGGAGGGGAACAATTCCTGTTCAGAGCTTTTTAATCACTTCAAAAGCATGTCTCTGAACGACTGGCTTCCGTTTCTTAGCTTTCATCAGGGCTGCTACTACTCTCAGTACGCTGATACATTGAAAGTTTGCCATCTCAGCGAGTCCTAGGACAGTGTCCTTTGGGCCTGTTACTGGCAAAAACTGAAAAAGAGAGAGGACTGTTAGTATGAGATGTCTTTCGGGCAGCCCCAATATTTCAATCTCGGAGCAAAAATATTTATTTTAGTGAAGTGAGCGCTGCTCATAACAACACTAGATAGACTATTTGCTTTGTGGGAAAGAGGAGAACAGTCGTGAAATGTTGGCGGGCATCTGCACAAGGGTACCTCACTGATTTGCCCCTTCCCATTCATTGCAGGAGGAAACCTGGGTGTCCTCATCAAAGCCCCTCAGGATTCGGTCAATGGCACTGTGGGCCACTCCGTGCTCCTGCCCGTCTCCTACAAATTCACAAACTCCTCTTGCTTCCCACTGTCGTTTCACTGGACGTTCAGTAACCGCTCGGACGCGCTCATCACCTGCACGGTGCTGAACTGCTCCCTGAGCGCGGAGGGGGCTCCCAAGCACTGCTTTGCAAAGCATTTCCCACACGCCGCGTACCGAGGTCGCGTTGTGCTTTTCCCTGAGAACGCGTCCCTGCTGCTCCGGGACCTGCAGCTCAGCGACGGCGGGGTGTACAGCGTCACCTTCAAGCAGCAGATCCAAACCAGGCACATCACCTTAACTGTGTATGGGCATCATTTCACCTCTGAAGACGATAATACCTGTAAGTGGTAAGCTGAAGATATTCTCAGTTCGGACACTGGCTGAACTCCCCCAGGCCCAAATATAAGCGGGAACAAGAATGGAAATAAGACTGAATATTTATTTATTTATTCTGTAGAGAGTCAGGTGATTCAGAGGGCCCTGCTACACAAGGTTTTTTTTGTAGTAGGTGAATCCTAATCCTCTACTGTAGATTAAACCCTAGACATGGAAGTTGTCTACACCACAAAAGCCATTTTGTTGTCTTCACCAGCCTCATATTTCCATAATATTTATCTATATTGTCCCTAGTTTGGCACTACTCTTTATGTTACTATCGCTGTGTACTGCTTCTCTTCTCTGACTGTGCACGGCTCATCAGACTTGGTGATAAACACAAGCTTCTGAAAATTGTGAATTTGCAACTAGTTACTCTCTAACTGAAGCTTCTCATTTTAACCTCGTATCTTGGATTAAGGGTCTAGTTTTATTAGCATGACTATGATATTTCCATGCCTGTAACAGATCCTACTAATGCTTGAAGATGTCTTTTTCCTGACTGTCTGCATCCATCTTTTTGGAAAACAAAGTGATGCAATCCAAATCACTACTGCAGGGTATCAAAGTTACTTCATCTTTGGCCCAAGCAGCCACCGAAATGCAGATAAAGTCTAAGAACACTTTCTTCTTCAGTGAGTTGTGAGCAGGGTTAATGTACACCTTTCCCACCTTGATTTCAGTTGTTAATTGCTATTAACTGCACCGCTCTTTAGCTCCCACTGGCACTCATAGCTTTGTGCTAGGAAAAAGTAGGCTAGCGTTTGTGATGAAAGTAAATATTGCATACAGGATAGAAAGAGTTCAGTCATCATGCCCCAGAATTAAAACATCTTAAAGCTGACTTTTCTGAGCAGCAGAAACTTTCCAAATCTGCTAAGAAGATCCTTAGGACATGTATCCTCCGGGGCAGCAGGGGGGGAGTTAGTTTTGTGGAATCCGGTGAGAACAAGGTTTGATTTTACTGAGTTCTCTGCAAGGAAAGCCTCAGTGGGACATCCAGTCCTCCTGACAGTGTGAGCTGTGACTGTGCCCTGCGCTGAGTGCCCTCAGCTCTTGGCAAGGCTTGTGGCGACACCAGGGGTGCCTGTCCACAGGGTGCACAGAGCAGGAAGCCGAGGCTGCATGGCTGGCCTGAGAATGGGAGCCGTCTGCTACTTGTGCTGACTATCTAGCTTTTCATGTCGAAAGCTTCCCATGAACACTGAGAGCTCTTGGCTGAACGGTCACCTGCTAAACTCGTCCCCGATGGGAAGGACAATACTGTTACATTCTTCATTAAAGGTGCTTCTTGGGATTTTAGCCATGACGATTATTGCTCTATACCATGCTCATGCAGAATCTTTCCACAACAGTACAAGACCTAAAAGCAATAACGGGATACATTGTTGGAGGCTGTCTCATCTTATTCCTTCTGTTTTTCCTTCTCTACTGCAAGTGGCATTTTGGTGAGTGGATCTGTTTAGTGTTCTGTGGCTGTAGCCTTAAAAGGAATATAACCAAAGACACCACGTCTTGCTGCTTATTTTCAGAATGACTCTTCCCGTAACAGCCTTTTCCAAAATACGGCCCTCCAAGCCACTGGGCAAGACCTGAGGTAGAGGAGAACTCACTGAGTGTTTAAGGGATTTTTTGATCTAGCTTAATAAGAGGCACAGGGTGACTTTTCTCAGCATTAAGATAGCCTATCTTTTTCCAATCACTAAGGCTTAGCAGGGGGGAAAAATGTAGGGAGATGCATGTTTCCCCAAAGCTTTATTCCTTACAGGCTCCCTGCAATGGATCACTTACATTGATACGATGATTTTGAATCAATACTTTCTATTTGTGCTCTACGAAAATCTTACAGAAATGTTGACTTTAAAGACAGTGACAGTGACTTTAAAGACAGCCCATTGAAGTTACCTAAATCTCCCACTGATGTCTTAAAGAGATCATGTAAGCATTGTTAAGCAGAAACAAGAGGTTGCATTTGTCATGCAGACTATCTAACACTATCCAATATGGTTGTCAAATACTAATAAATACAAATAAATCCCTTACAGGTGCAATTTTTCAGAAGACATCTAGAGTTATAAAGCAGCAAGAGGTATGGTAAGAAATAAGAAAATGCTATGGGTCATGTGGATCACAATTAACTGACAGTTGCTATTAGAATCAACGGCTATAAGTTGATTTCTAAGTATTGAAATATAAAGTGACATTGTGCTGTTGGAAAACCACCAGCCACCAGGAATATTCTTTTTTTTTTTCTTTAGCATGATGATTTATCGGCTAAACTTGTATTAGACTTCAGTTTCTTTGTACTATATCCTTTCAAAGATTTGGGATTTGATTCTCTTTTATTGCCTCAAAGAGAAAACTATTGCAATACAAATCCAGGTACAGAATGCCACGTAGCCGGCCTGAGGCCAGCTGTCTGCTGCGGGAAGGCAAGTCCAGCTTTGCCCTTTTTGAGGGCTAACCTTAGAAGATAAGGTTGTCCATTAAAATGTTGCTGTTGAAAACCATCATCCTGAGCAAAGCAGTGGGAGAGGACCAGGCAGGAAGAGATGAAGACAGGTCAGAGAACGGTTTAGACGGCTCTCACTGCAGCTTGTGTACATGAAGACACAGGGGCAAGTGTTTTCTGTGCAAAGTAATCTATTCAGGAGAATGCATCCACGGCTATGAACAGTTTTCTGCATCAAAATACATGTGCATAGAGAAACCAGGACAGGAAAATGGGGAAAAGACTGGCTTTTTTGGCTAGATTTTGAAATACTGTTGCTGAAACAAACTGTTCTGGCTTTGGCCTCAGAGCAAAGCCTGCAGGCCTCCCATCCCAATGGGATGCTCAGAAAGAGCCTAAAAGCTGAAGCCAGTCTTGCTGCTGAGATCACGTAGTGATACGGCAAATTTCAATGCTGGCTAGAGCGAGGAACCAGAACCAGAAAAGCAAAGAGGTGACAGTAAAGAGCAGGCACTGCAGCATGAAGTCCTGACTTGCTCAGGACCATGGGCAGATTCTAAATTCACACTCTCGTTTTTACTATTTGTTTACCACTTATCCCACGGTGGTGTTAGAAACCAGCTGCTGTGCCCAAGGCATTGGGTGATGCATATCTGTACTTCTACTGCTGCTGTGGGTTCCAGTAGGGGACAAATTCTGCCTGTCCTTTTCCAATCTGCACTGACCCTTCTGGAGAAAACTTTCGTCTTTATTTTTTCCATTTATCTGTATTTATCTAGTCCTCCAGCCATGATGAGTCCCACATGGAGAACAAGCTGAGAAGGGATATATGCACAGTTTACGCACTGATTGGTGATGACCAGACACAGCCCAGAATGATGTGAAAAGTTGAATGCATGTCTGTAGCTGTCAGTTGACAGGAACACTGTCTAACCTAATGGACTGCCTGGGCTGTGATCATCTGCGGCAGGGACTGAGGGAGTGTCTACCATTAGGCCTCCATGACCTACCTGAGAAACAATCCTGCATGAAAGAAAAATTTGTAACATCGACCAGACATAGCTCCTGAGGTGAATAGGACACCTTCGCCTTTGACCTTGGCTCTGCTCCTGGGGATGCTGCATGTGCTCCTGTTTTGGCCTGGTGACTCTGCCCATGCCACGGGCAGGGAAAGTGGGATCTGGAGCTGCTGAGCGTAAGCCGGGTTGATGAACTTGCACCACAGTTCCCTTTTTCTTTTTCACCTAAAACATCAGAGAGTCTACAGATGCCGGCCAGTGTGCGTGCAGGGCTGGGAACTCCTCCAGACCAGAGAGAAGGGAGTCTTATGGCAATCACAAATCGTTTGGGAAAGACACATCTATAGGATTTCTCGATGAGAAGGACTGAGAATACATGAAGCCAAATGCATGGCACCTTCACTGTGAAAACAGACTATTCAACAGACTGCTCGGACTGAAACACTGTCGTTTTCCCCATATCTCTTGACTGAGCCACGTGCCATTTCCCACAGTAATGGGCTGGTGATGACATCTGGGGTCCCTGAGCCTTATCAAGGGATCCCTGCTTCCTTTTTAAAGATGCTCAGCTTCATCCTGCTCTTCCACAGTAAGTTTGGGAGGGGCTGAGGTGCAGGGTTGTACCAAGTGGGACCAAATGCTGCCTGATTAAGACTAAGAGAAGGGGGATGTGGATAGTGGTGTATGGGGTGGTTCAACTGAGATGTGACCCACTGCAGCACTGTGACTCCATTGCTTGGGGTTTACTCCTGATGAATGCTGGGGGCTGTGAAAGTTGACATCTGCACTGGGGCTGTGGTAGGAAGAGACCTTTTCTGCTGCCTTTTCTTGAAACGAAGGACTTCATAGGCAGAAGAGGTACTGGAGAAGTGGGTGCTTTTCCTAAATTGGAGGATTAGCCTTCTGAATTTGGCTGTGATTTGATTTTCTCGGAGAATGTATCCCTGCTGCTCCAGAACATGCAGCTCAGCAACAGTGAGCAGCAGCATTGCTTTCAAGCAGCAGACCCAGAGTGCACACAGAGCTTTACCGTGTTCGGATGCTGTTCCTCCTCCGCTGATGCAGGCAGTGGTAACGGTATGTGGGGGGTGATGCTGTGATCAGGAACGATGCCTTGACAGCCCCAGTCACGCACTTTTCTGCAGGCAGAAGGCCCCGGCCCAGCCCAGCAAGCGGCACTGAGGCCGGCGGCCCTGAGCCACAGCTTGTTTCGGAAAGCCCTTGCTGGCGGGGGCAGCAGGTGCTGGCCCTGCGCTCGCGCGCTCCCTCGCCCACGGTTCTCCTTGCCCCCACAGCCATCACCACCCTCCCGGACACCCCGGCTCCCAGGCGACGGCCCTCGCTCCTCACCACAGTGCTTCGGGCTCTGCGCACAGCTTTCTTCTGCAGCTGTGTCACAGGGCAGCGAGACACACACAGCCATAGACATCTTTGACTTCTCCAGGCCATTTGGCTTTTCCAAAAGTGAGCTGCAAGAGTTAATGTGGGCTTTCTCTCTCAAAAACTGCTATTAGGGTTATTTAAAAACTGTGGAGGATTATGAGGCTAGAAATGTGCATGAGGTATAGATTCTTAAGTAAGCTTGTCACTTTGCAGGAAGGGCCGTGAGCGTGCGCAGCGCAAACAAGCCGAGCAATACAGGCGCGCGCGATCGCACCGGAGGCGTCCAGCTTGCCCCCGAGCACGTCCTACTTGCTGCCCCAGCTCACGGCATGTAAGGAGGACCTGCCGCCTCAGGCGGGCAGCCAGAGCCACGCTCTCTCCTGGGGGCCACACTAATAGTGCCGCAGAGCATAGCAAGCCTGCCACAGACGGGCACCTTCAAGCACAAACATCCCACGCACACCGACGTGCACACAAACAGTCGTCAGGCTACGGCCATTCCCTACTTGGAATAAACGCTTGGGAAGCCTTTTGCCCTCTGGTCCTTGCTGTCAGCGCCCTCCCAAGAGACAGACTAGCGAAGGCCCTGAAGGCAAAGCCAGGCAGAGCTGGAGAGAAAGCCGTTCGCTGGGCTCCAGAAAGACAGAGCCGCTGGGGCGCAAAGGGGCTTCTGGAGGGCTCTGCTCCGACCTCCTGCTGCCAGCTCAGCTTTCCCTGGGCCTGGCACCGTCAAAGTGGGCCTGTCCCCACGCATGCATTCCCCCTGCACCCCGGGCCCCTGCTCCACTCTTGCACCACCCAGAGGCGTCCCACCCAGTGTCCTCCCACCTCGGATGGGAATTTCTCCGCGCGCAACTCGTGCCACTGCACCTCCCCCTGTCCCCGGGCACCTCTGCCAAGCCTCTGCCTCCATCCTCTCCCCACCCTCCCAGGCAGTGAGGCAGTTGCAGCCAGCAGCAACATCCCCCTGCGCCTTCTCTTCTCCGAGACCAACGCACCCAGCGCCCTTGGCCTCTCCTCCTACCTCCTGTGCTCCCGCTCCCGACCAGCGCGGGGGCCCCTGCTGCGCTCACGCCCGTGTGCCGAGCTGGGGAGCGACGAGCTACACAGCGCATCGGGGCATGCTTGACCCTCTGCCCTCCTGGAGGGATGGGGAGCAAATACACTTGTTTCTCTAGACACGCACAATTTGCCAAGAGAGCTCTGCCTTTCAGACAAGAGCTTGTGACCCAAGGATTCCGCGTCCTCATGTACCCACGCTCCTCAGAGCCCCTCTTGGGATTTTACCCACAGCACGACTCACAAGCAAGGCCTGCTTACGCTTGAGATTACCCCCAGCCTCCTCCGCTTCCTCAGCTGCTGCTCCTCAGAGAGATTTCAGCTTGCGCAGAACAAAGAGGGCTGCACCCAGCCTTCATCCCCCATAACGCCCCGAGGCACACGCGGGCTCCGGCTCCAAAACCCAGCGCACCTGCTGCCTGCCTCAGGGCAGCCCCCAGCAAGAGCACATGCCGTCACACAGAGATAAATGAGCAAACTCTCTTTGCACTCTGATGGTGACAGCTCAAACCATTATACGTGTACCAACAGCGAATCTTAACACTTCAGGCCAAGGGAATCCCCCCAATACAGGCACTGCCATGCAGATGGCATGAAGAGCTCTTTGTTACCTGCCCTGCGTTGCTCACACCTCTGACGCACCACAAGAGCTCAGCTCTGGAGAGAAATCCACCTGCAGCTCCTTGCCATGTTCGGGACTGCTCATTGGTCTTATCCAGCAGATTGGTGTTTCTCAGGCAGCTCCTGTGTCACTCTGAGGCTGGTCTTGTAAAGGCTGAGAAAAGGCAGGCTAGCATTGTGGAGTCATGAGAGAAAGATAAACGTGTCCTGTAAACCACTTCCCGTATTTCTGCCAGTGATTAGGACGATATCTTTTACACTGGCTGCTATGGGGCAGGAGAGGGGGAGAAGGGAGAAGGTAGGGATGTTTTAGGGTCTGGATGAAACCTTTAGCAATTACATATCTTGTTTCTGAGTTTTCAATAGATCTATGGCGTGCCAAGTTTACATCTTGAGGAATGATATGGATGCTCTGCCAGCTTTATGGACCTGTATCTCACAGCATTTGCAGTGACAAATCATATCTCCCAAATAGCCTGTGCATGACAGCTTGCACACAGCACAGGAGCCCACAGAATGAAGCAAAGGTCTCATAGCTACCTGGACACATAGTTTGGTAACATGGAAATAGATGCTCAAGCTTTTCTGATGAAGAGACTCCTTTTCAGTGGGTGTTAGATGTTGAGCACCTTCCTATGTTGCTTCCTGAAAGCACAGACAGGTGTGTGAGCAAAAGGGTCTTTTATGGAAAACTTACATATCTTTATAACTTTGTCTTTATAAATAACTGTGAAGCGATGGAGTCTGGGGAGGATGTTTCTTTCTAATGTCAACACTAGAAAAATAACAGAAGGGGATTTTCTGCCTCCCTGTGGAGGCTGCCGCAGGAGGCTGAGGTAAGGATGAGCTCATCTGCCATCCACTGCAGTTGCAAACTCTACTTCTGAAAGATTTTTTTATGAGAACATTGCAGGCCATGGCCGGTTGCAGAGAGGACCAAGACCTGCCCCTCAGTCCTAGCCATTCTCTCCAAAGTAGCCAGCCCTCAGATGTGCTAGACAACCCTATGCACAGGGCAGTGGATCCCTTGGGAAGGAGACTTGACATATACAAGAACTTCTGCAATGTGACTATTACAGCCATCTTTCCAAAACAGGCTGACAGAAGAGAAGATTGAGAGGGGATCTCATCAACGTGTACAAGTATCTGAAGGGGGAGTGTCAAGAGGATGAGGCCAGTCTCTTCTCCGTGGTGCCCAGCAACAGGACAAGAGGCAATGGGCACAAAATGAACCACAGGAAGCTCCATCTGAACCTGAGAAAAAACTTCTTGACTGTGAGGGTGACAGAGCATTGGAACAGGTTGCCCAGAGAGGTAGTGGAGTCTCCTTCGCTGGAGATATTCAAAACCGTCTGGATGTGATCCTGGGCAATATGCTCTAGGTGACCCTGCTTGAGCAGGGAGGTTGGACTAGATGATCTCCAGAGGTCCCATCCAACCTAAACGATTCTGTGATTCTGTGATTCTGTGATAACGTGCACCTTTGAGTGTCATGCTCCGGACTGGGACGTTGCAACACTTCTGTAAAGCAAATACATTTTGTGATGCATCTCAAAGTTGAGACGGATCCTGTAAAAGTAAAGGAGTTGCTTCAGGATGTTTCAGTTAAAATGGAGGTTAAAGAGGGTGAGACCTGAGAGAACCGTTGCAAAGCTTCCAGCTGTCGTATATTTTAAATTACCAGCATAAAAGCTTTTTGGCCTAGATTTGATGGGAAACTGAGGCTGTTATAGTCAAATAAACAGTTTATATTTCTAAATCCAAGGCAATATCCAAGGAAACTTCAAGACAAAGTCCACATCACTCAGATGCAAGTTATGAGGTTTTATCAGGCTTCAGAAAACATTGCATAACTCCTATTCTCCAGTGCTGAGAGATGGGGAGTATCTCTGTGCAGATCATTTACTATGACTGTCAAATACTAACACATTTTTTTTTAAATCTTTCAGAGGTGCAGTTACTCAAAGATGACAAGAACCATGAAGTAAGAAGATGTGCTGTAAGAATAAGAAGTCACTTTGTCACAGGGACAGGTAGATAATGCCTTCCTGACCATTGGAATTAGGCTGAATTAGCTGTTGAGAATATGTTCCCGAGTAGCAGATGTAAAATAAGAGTAGCTGCTCACAAACCTTGGCCTGCTCATGAATACACAAACACTAGAGGCTTTCTACCAGCATTCCTCCTGGGTTTATTCTCCATTCCTGGGTTTATTCTCCATAAACTTTCAAGCCAATAAATCCGGTCTTTGGCAGAAGTGGTTCAGATCATCATCGGGTCTAAACCAGTGTAGATGACACTCACTTCACTGGAATCATGCCAGCTTTAGAGGACAGATCCCACTCTGATTCTTCCTTAGGCTTTCAATTCCTTACAGTAACAAATTTTGAACTATGTAGTAATTTTTCTCCAAAATATTAATTACGTAAGAAATGGTCAAGCATCCCAGATAACTGAAGAAAAGTACTAGAACCCTTGTGAGGAGTGGTGTCTCGTGAAGCTGGCAGTGCCTTCTTGGTAATACCAGATAAAGCAGAGATTCCTTAGGTAATGGTATCAGAAAAACTACATTTGGATATGGATGTAGCAAAACTGGGGCCAGTGGAGGAGGAGGGAGGAGAAGGAGGGAAGAATAACTAAGGGTGGGATGTTTATTTGGGAGGATTCAAGGTTGATAAGGGATGAATAAGCATGGGGAAATGGAGATGAAGGGGATAAAAGTGGTTGGCTGCATGTAGGCAGGCGGCAGATCAGCATGCTTGTGTGGCTAAGCCTTGAGCCTGATCACTGTCAACTGTCCTGTCTTATTAAACTCTACTGCCAAATATTTTCTATATGAGTGTGTTCTCTAGCTTGTGTTTGCACATGATTCACTAGCAAAATTGAAGCCAGACTGGCCGGCAAGTACAAGAGGTCTGAGGGCTGGGTAGGTGAGAGATCGCAGGTCTGGGCCAGCTAACGTAGACACTCATTTATGGGTGTGAGGTCTGCTAGCAAGCTGTGAGCCCAACTAACCAATGAGGAGAACAGGATCAGGCCATTTGTGTCGTTCACGCCTGTGTGAGTGCTGCCTGTGGGTGCAGGGGTGCCTGTAATGGCACTGCTCACTGTCTGTGTCGATCTGTTGGTGGTCACCCAGTGTGCTTGCGCGGCTGGGATGTGCCCTCAGTCTCACTACTGCGTGGACCTGGGAACAGGAACTCACAGCAGCTTCGACTCTAGTGGCCCAGGAAGAACTCTCTTGCATCACAAAACCCACCCAGTTCAGTTTCCCTGAGCATAAACCTTGACTATTGAACCCCAATATGTTTTATATTCACATAAAAAACAATGCCCTATATAAATACATATGTTCAGACTGGTTCACAGGTCTAACTTCATTAAAAGAGTGAACAATAACTAACTTCTTTCAAGTTGGGATTTCTTTTTTGCATATGCATCCTCAGCCCTACGTTGATGGGGGAGATTCTGGTTTAGATTTTGTGGGCGGGACAGAATAAAGCAGGAAATATTGCCGCACCAGCCCAGAGCATGAGGTAGCACCTTGCTGAGGCAGAGCTGGCCTCCAGAGGTGGTAAAGGAGAGACAAAAGGAGGAGGGGGGGGAGTGGTTGGAGGGGCATAGTTTCATGTGGAGTGGGCTGGGGTGGCAGGCCTGTACTTGGGGTCACAAGGAGCTGGAGGGAGTCTCAAAAAAGAGAGCAACCTTGGGGGAAGGGGGAAAAACACTGGGTTACTTCCCCCCCCCCACACACAATTTTCCTCTGTTCCCAAATCCTGTAGTTCTTTCTTGCTCTCCAGGAACCTTCGTTCTTCTGCTGACCTCCACTATCCTCTACAGCTCCCTGATCTACCTCCTGGCTTCCTCCTGAAGTTTCACTGCTCCCATCCTTTTTACCTGTACTGCGTCCTTTGACACGAGGCCAACAGCCTCCTTTTTCCTCCTAGTTTCCCCACCAAAGAGCTCTCACATACTCTCACCCCTCCAGCACCCATCTGAGCCCTTCCCACCCTCTCTCACGCACACCAGCTGCGCTCTTCCTCCCCAGCACTGAACATTACCTGTGCCACAGAGAAGTCTTCAGCTAGCTGTGACCAGGAGAAGTAGGTAAAAAATAGTGCTCTAATTTCTTAGCACTGAGTTGGACAGATCTTCTATAAAGTTTATCTTGCAGAATCTAAACCTGTAATATGACTTTAGCCACTCAAAAGTTGTAACTGATAACTCCTAACCCAAGCAATGCAATGCCAGAGACAGAGACCAAGCTGGGCAATGGCAGCACAGCTGGACACATCACCTAGAGCACCTGAACCCACAGGGCTCTTGCACAGCACCCAAACCTGACGTGCAGGAGGAAATTCTGAAAATTGTGACAAATCTGCCCCATTGAAACCTGGTTCTCCTTACAGATGAGTGGCCCAACCAAACAGGGCCTAGAAAGCCAGAGCATGGCCCAGCTCTGAAGCTCCAGCTGTCAGACAGGCTGAAGTGCTGCAGCTGCCCAAGAGAACCTGGAAACTGGAAAAGATGAGACATGAATCAGGTACTGTACAGCAGAGGAGGAATTAACTTTGGGGTCTGGCCAGGTATCTCAACCAGGAGGTCAGGGAGCCCTTTTACCATGCAGAGATGTATGTGTATATCCCTCCCTGCCCTGCTTGCACCTCCCCTGTACAGGTGAGCATGGTCACCAGCAAAAGTTCTCCTGCTTTCCCCGAGACAAGCTGTTCCCACTAGTCTGTTTCCCCATGGAAAAGAAAAAGCTCTGGGAAGCCAAGGTAAGACTGCTCTGCCATCCAGCACTGGTTTCTCCTATCTGGGATACAGCAGCCAAGAAAATCTCATCAAGTGCTGTGAATTTTTCCACCTTCTTGGATGTCTCTGCATCTCCCTAGTCTGTCATCCAGGTTTAACTATGGAAGAAATCCATGGGGCAAAACACATGGAGAAGTAAGATGGCCTGTCTCCTGTGTCCTAGCCATTGGAGCCGTATAGTCAAGACCTGGAGCCAAACTCTCTTTCCTTTCCCAAGGGTCATTATTTCAGTCTTGATTAAATTTTCCCTTGTCTTCACCTCTGTACCACTTGGTAGTTTTGAAATGGAGCTGGTAGTTCAGGACCCACATCTTAGACCAAGCCGATCCTCTTGGAGAAGATTCTCATCTTTGGTGTTTTCCTCATAATTATTTACAACCTGACTTGTGACTTCCCTCACATGGAAAATATCTTGAAAAGGAACCTACTGACTGTTTAGGTCAGAGGTGGAATGGCTGAATGGCTCTGGGGACCAGCTGGTCCAGATCATTGGCACAAGTGGACGATGCATCCACAGACTAATGGTCACAAAGCTGTGATCTTCTCGTCTCCTCTTGGCTCCTGGAGGTAACGTGAGGGCTCTCTTGTCTGTAAGAGAAGGGTTTCTTCACAAGTGAGTGCACAAAAACATGCATTTGCAAAATGGCATAGTGTACCACACTGCCTCCAGTATCCTGAGTCTGAAAATCAAAAGTTTAGAGGTTCTTTCATCACTCACAGTGGCACTGGTAGTGGGAACCACATGCTCCACTTGTTTGTTTGGCAGCTTGCTGCAAGCGGGTAATGGATAGGCTATGTAGAGTTTCTGACCCTAAGCCAGACTCAGAAAACAGAGCTGCCCTGATATAAAATCTGCCTTGGACTTTGGTCCTGGTGAGGACTGAATCGCCACTGCAAGGAGGGCAGTTTGTCATGGCAATTCTCTGTAAATTATTCAGCCATGGGAAGCACATGTCTTTGAGCTCTCCTAAGCTGAGGGCTGCGTGGAAAACACCACAGATTTTTCCACATACCCTCAGCTTTCTATCATGAGAAAAGATTTAACTACATAAACAGACAGGAGAAAATTATTGCAGCCAAAATGTCAGCGGTTTATCCTGAGCCTCCTGACTGAAACAGATGCTGACTCCTATTGGCCATGGAACAAGCCTGGTGTTTTGGGCTGAGGTCCTAGCAACAGGACTGTATGTATTTACAGGGCTCCTCACCAATGCAATGAGTCACTAAGTCCTAAAGAGGTGATTTTTTTCACAGAAAACCAGAAGGTATGGAACTGAAACGGTCCAATTTGAGAGAAATGACCAAAAAAAAAAATTCTCCTTAGCACAGGTTTCTTCTCCTGTACTACTGCACCCCTGAGTGGTACGCAGCTGCTCTTTCAGGCTCCAGGGACAAGCCTATATTCTAAGAGGTGACAGGAAAGTAAAAAACAGCAATATATAGCAACACAGTCAAGGGGTACAGCGACTTGAACACAGCAAATGCACACATTTATCACAAAGACAGCAGTTAACATATGCATTGCAAAACTGCAAAAAGGCCACTTCCGGAAAGGGCTTGTATTTCTCAGCCTTCATCAGGCCTGCTGCCCTCTGCACAAAGCAGACCCAGCATCCACACCCAGAGCTTGCCAAGACCTGACACTCTTGTCACAGTATTGCAACCAAGATAATATGGAAAAGTAAGGTATCTGGCATGACTGCTAGATGACCTGTATCTCTGATTTAAGCTACACAAAAATGCCTTGCGGTGAAGTGAGCTGCAATGAGGGGAATTAGGAAATACAATTAGGGAATGCAATTGGGGAAAAGGGGAACTGCTGATCTGTCCTTTCTTGCAGGAGGACACCTGAGTGTCCCCACTGAAGCCCCTCAGAATTTGGTTAGTAGTACCATGGGCCAGTTCATGCTCCTCCCCATTTCCTACAAATTTGGTGGCTCTTCTTGTTTCCCGTTGTCATTCCACTGGACATCCTGTAACAGATCATCATCTGCACCTGCTCCCTGAGCACCAGAGGGGCTCCCAGCTACTGCTTGGACCCGCTTTACCTTCACACAACAAGCCAGGGCTGCTGCTTTTCCCTGAGAACCTGTCCCCGCTGCTCCGGGACCTGCAGACCAGTGACAGCGGGGTGTAGGTCACCTCCGTATGGCAGAGCTGCACAAGGCACACAGCCTGAGCTGTGCACAGAGATTGTTCCCCACTGCGATGCAGGCAGAGGTAGCCCTAAGTGAGGGTGACGCAGTGCTCAGGAGTGATGCCCTGACAGCCCTGGCCACACGCCAGACCGGAAGGAGGGAGCCAGAGCTTGGATATCTCTTGCTCACCTGTGGGTGATGGAGCTTTGACGTGAAGTCAGGCAGTTCGAGGGTGTCATGCAGACTGCTATAAATGGCTCTGCTGACTTCTGTGAGGTTAAAGCACTGCTGTGAGAGCTTCCGGCTAACAGGGAAAATGTTTTCTCTTCCTACTGAGAATTTTTGATTTGTGTATGTGGGTGCGCCCACAAAAGCTTTGTGTTATTTGCTGTTCGTTGCTGCATAAGGGTGAGAAAGGTCAAGGTTGCTTATGAGCCTCTTTGAGAGAACAGCACGTGAATCTGTAGCTCAACAGGCTAAAGAGAGGTATGTCAAGTCCTTGTTGATTAAAAATTTCAGGTAAGATCAATAAAGGGGGAATTAGTCCGTCCAGCAGGGCAGTTGCGTTGCGCTGTCTAGTGTTGGCTTCCTGGCAGAGCAGGCTCCCGGAGTGCAGTGGGAGTCCTTTGATTGCACAATCGCATTTTGGCACTAAATCACAAAACCCCCTTTAATTCCTATTGTCTGTCTGTTCTGCCTCATGCTTTCTTAAACTCCTTTAAGAAAGCTTGGTTGATGAATGTGAAAGGGGAGAGTTTTATACCCTTAATGTGCGTTTTAAAACGTACCAATTAGCATTCCCCTTTCACGGATTTTTGTTGCTACTGGCATTGATCACGGTAAACAGGCGATTCACTTTGCAGCTCTGCTGCCACCTGGCATAGAAAGGAAAATGAAATGGTTCTCCTGGCTCTGGCCGAGTGACATAAACCTGCATTTGTAGCACCAAACTTGCCTCTGCATCCCCATATAACCCAAAAAAATGAATGAACCCTAAGTTTAGGAAGTAGCTACTCTGGGGGGAGCTGTGTGCAAGTTCAGAGAGCTCTACACATCCTGCCTTGCATTGCTCCCGGTTGCTAACGCAGCAGGAGCTCAGCTCTGGGGGCAAATTTGCTCACAAGTCCCTCGCCGCACTCAAGACTTTGCAGCACTCACCCTCATCTGCCAGGCTGAACTGCTCACGGGCTGAGCTAGTCATGGGCGGGCAGATTGGGAGAAAGTAGGCTAATAGCCAGTAGGGGAAAAAGTAGGGGTGTTAAGAGCTTGAAAATTTTACTTTTCTCATGTTAAAAGTATCTCCAAGCCCACCTTCGGAGCATCTCAATTTTAACAAACGCAGAAAGGGTAAAAATGCATCAGGACACTTGAGTTTTTTGTTGGGGAAAACACCTGAAGTGTGCTAATGGAAACATGATTTTTGACTTGCTTGTGTTGCAACTAGTGGAAAATAAATAATGTTGCCTCTGTGGAGGAGATGCACCACTGCCACACCAGTGAGATCATCTGATAGTGCTGAGGAAACTTCCTATGCGTGAGTGGAGCTAATGAAGTATTTGGAAACAACTCTTGTCATATCTGTCCTTAGGAAAACCTGTAGGACTCCAGGATTTGATCTTTGGAACCTCAGGCTTTATGTACCAGAGCTTTCCTGGACCAGATGCTCTCAGCAGGAGGGGTATTCACCTGCTTAAATTGTCCTGGAGCATGAAAACGATCCTGCAAACAGCAAAAACCTGTCATTGAAAATGTTATGCAGAAATGTCTTTCTGTCAAAAACACCCTCGGCTGATACCTCCCTGTCCCAGGCTTTCATCTCTCATGTCTGGCAAACCCAAACTCTTAAAAACAAAACAAAAAAACGCACCTACTTCACACTTCTGTTAAACAGAATAGCGTGAAGACTTTTCACACCTCCATGCTTATAAATGAGCTGTACTGCACAAGCAAGATCTAGGGAAGATTTAGTAATTTCCTCCCTGAGCTGACATTTTATTTCAGTAGCATTTGCTGGCCACCGGACAGTTTTCAGCAGATCAGGCATGAGTCTGTCAGCCCTTGAAAGCCCCTCATCCTGGAGGCACTAAATGACCAGACGACACCTGTGGATTGACTCAGGGCAAGGAGTGGTGCCAGCAGTGAAAGACGTGCTTCCTCAGGGCCTCTGGTCCAGCCGAGGAGATAATATGGGCTCTACCTGGGGCTGCTGGACCCTCTGCTCCACCCTGCTGCTTGGTAAGTCTGGGAAGGAGAGTGCACTTGCTATCTGATATTAAACTGACCTCTGAAAGCACAGGTGCAGTAGGGACCTTTTCTGCTGTTCACTCTGCAAAAGGCACTTTTCCTTCTTTACTCTCAGACTCTTTTCTTTTTTTTGCTCTCAGACATACGGGATTTGCCCCAGGCTGGGCATCACACTTCCACCCTGGAGCTCCGCTCGGGCAGCGGGCGCTGAGGTGTGACGTGTCTGTTCCCTGGAGGCTCCCAGTCTAGCTCTCTCCCTCAACTGCCTAGGCCGGGGGAGGAAGAGTGGCCCCAACCTTTCCACCCCCAGGGTATCCCTCATCGCTGGGGCAGTGCGTTGGCTTCTCTCCAACTTTTGCTGGGAAAGACCTCACACCAGCTGCTCCAGGTACCAGCCTCGGAAGTGTTTTGGGAGATGCCCAGGTCCCTGGGCAGCCTGTGCCACCTGCGAGGTGCCTGCTGCACTTGTGGGTTTGCAGCCTGTGTCCCACCTGTGCTGCATGGCTTGGCCTCAGCGTGCACGTGGCACGTTCGGGGACAGGCTGGGCAGCAGCAGCTGCTGGGGGCTGCAGCTGGCCCAGCTGCACCCCTCGCTCAGAGGTTTATTGCAAATGAGATTTGCAATATTTTCAGCCCCCTAAAAGCCTAGCTACAGAGTTCAAAGCACTTTTTGTCTAGGGGGGCTCGGCAGGAGGACAAGGGGAAGGCAGGGACGCCTCTGGCTCTTTCCTGGAGCTGGGCTGGCCCCTTGCTGAGTCGTGCCACGGGGTTACCCCCCCCCAGCCATATCTGGGGTCAGCATTACCTTCATTGCTTTCACTCCTGCCTCTGGGTTGGCCAGCAGCAGGACTGTGCTCAGTGAGAGGCCACAGATTTATCTGTGCAAAAAAATACATTACAGTCAGGCCATGCACTAGGTCTGTGTGTGAGAGGGGGGGAAAAATAAGAGTCGCATAAAGGGAAAACGATAGCAGATTACAACAGTGTGAGATTTCCCCCCATCCATTTCAGAGCAAGATTCCTGTTTCTCAGCCTTGGGCAGTTAAATATTTGCTGTCTGGACAACAGCCTCCCAGAGAGTCCTATACCAGAAGCAACCGTGATCGGGAAAGGTGTAAATACTTGGGACTGGCTGTTAGCGTGCCACTTCTATTATCTATTCTTATCTATATGAAAAAGGGACATTTGTAAATAAAATTAATTTGTAAATTAAAGGCAGGCTGCCCGAACTCTCTGTAAAAATGGTCTTGCTGATCTTTGCTTTTCACCTTTTATTGCAGGTCTCTCCCAGGCACTTGTCCTCAAAGCCCCTCAGGATTCGGTCAATGGCACTGTGGGCCACTCCGTGCTCCTGCCCGTCTCCTACAAATTCACAAACTCCTCTTGCTTCCCACTGTCGTTTCACTGGACGTTCAGTAACCGCTCGGACGCGCTCATCACCTGCACGGTGCTGAACTGCTCCCTGAGCGCGGAGGGGGCTCCCAAGCACTGCTTTGCAAAGCATTTCCCACACGCCGCGTACCGAGGTCGCGTTGTGCTTTTCCCTGAGAACGCGTCCCTGCTGCTCCGGGACCTGCAGCTCAGCGACGGCGGGGTGTACAGCGTCACCTTCAAGCAGCAGATCCAAACCAGGCACATCACCTTAACTGTGTACGGCAGGCATCATGGCACCCCCAGGGATGCAGGTGCTGGTAAGTGTGGCACTGGCCGTGCACTCTGATACGCCTGACCTACCCTGAGCAAACGCATACCAGGGCGGGGAACAGGCAACGCTGTTCAGATCTCTTTTAAGTTGCACAGATGTGGGGGGTCAGTCAGCTCCGAGGAAGCTGCTGAGGGGCTGTGAGTCTTTCCAGTAGCAGCTGGCTGGTTCCAACCTTTCCGCCAGATGAAATAACTCTCCTAAAAAGCACACGTCTGAACTTCCTCTGAATCACTGAGAGAGGTTTTGCAAAAGGAAGCTAGTTTTCACTGGCAAAGCTGTGAATTATGGCTCAGAACAGCTTACACCTTCATATGAATCAAATGACAAACTTGAGTCTAGATGTCTACAAAAATACATAAATTTGTGGCTTGTGATATTTGCAAGTAAAAAAAAAAAGCCTAGAGGGTTCTTAGGAAACTAATTCATTACCTGTTAGACCTGGATCATCAGACTCTTCTAGCAAAATGCCCAGGTTGGAATATCTATTTTGGCTTTGCCATGTAATCTAGACTTTGCTTTGTCTCTGTTTCAAGTGGCATATGGGTTTAGCTGTGTAAACTTTCTGCCGCATTTCTGCAATGTGTCCAAACCTCCTCTCTGATCCGTGCGGCCCTTTAATATTTCTAACTTTACGTTAGGTTAATTCCAACGAATGTTATTGCCTTATCTTTGTCTTTGAGATACACAAGACTCTATTCACAACAGTGACTGTCTTAACGCCCCTGTTGCGATCTGCTATAAAAGTCAAATAAATGAGATAATTCTGCCTGTATCATCTGAATGTGATATAATATGAATAATTTACATAAAAACTTCTGCATTTTGGCACAAAGTAATTCTGAGAGAACTGGCTCTTAGAAGAGAGGCATTTCCAGAGCTCAGTGAAAACTGAAACTCATGGGACGAGTTGCAGTCAATTAGAAAAGCCCACAGCCAACTTCACCGCAAATAAAGAATTAGTTGAATTTTCTGCATTCCTCATGAGAACTAATCTGCCCTGCACTACATGTCACAACTGCAGTGCTCTCTGAGGGGGCTGAGCCCGGCCGGTGGCCGGTGACGGTGGCCTGTCTCCTCCCCAGGGCTGCTCAGAGCACCCGGAGCGCAGCCCGCTGGCATGGGGGGAGGCACGCTGCAGCCGGGGTGAGGTTACACGTCCCACCTGTGAGATGGCCGTGCCCTACCAACAAATTTCCTTTACACGGAGGGTAGTAGTGATCCGTCATTTCCTGTGTTGCAACCAGAGGGAGCCTTCCGTGCTAAATATATTTAAACAGTTATAATTAGCTCTTTATAAAATACTCATGGGAAACGTTTCCTTTCATATTTCAGACAATGACGCCAGAGGAGGGAGATTTGGACAGAAAATCCCTGTTATTATTGCTGGATGCTTCTGTTTCACCTTGCTAATTCTGCTGCTGTTCTGCTATGCATGGCACAGTGGTGAGTGGATCTAGTGCCATATTTCCCCTCTACACCCTCTTGCCCTGATTCCTCCTGAATATTTTTGCGGTCTGTAGTCCTGTAGATCCAGAAACGCAGATGTCTTCTCCCTCACAAACAGTGACATGAAACATCCTGGATGCTGCAAGCCAGCAGTCCAGCTGAGCTCCAAGGCCCGATGTACAGTCACTGAATGTGTTTCCATGTTTGGAATTTGCAATTTAGTGTAAGGTATCTGGTACTTACACTTACCTTTAGTGTAAGGTATCAGATACAGCATGGGTGTACTGCATGAAGCTGGTTCCTACAACATGCTGGTCTCTGAGTTCTGGAGCTCAAGCTCACTACACTGTGGGGAAAAAAAGATTGTTCCTGTAGAAAAGAGGAACAAATTAGTAATACATCTGCATGCTAAAATCTTTGAAGTGGGTGACGTAAAATGATGAGGGGATATTTAGTGTGTTTCTGCTTGGAAACCCACAGATTCTCCAGATCTTACTAATT